GCCTCGCCGCTGCAGCTAGCCGCGGGGGGGGCAGGTGCGCGGGTGGAGTGGCGGGGGGGTGATGCTGCACAAGAAGCCAGCTGGCTCCTGGCTGCGCGCTGACGCTCTGTCTCTCACCCGCCAGAGCCGAACATTGAAAGCCCCCTGAACACGCACGCGGCCGAACTCTGGAAGAACCAGGCAGGTGAGTGTCTCCCGTCCGGTCCGCGCTCTGCTGGCTGAGCTGCCTTCAGACCAGCGTGGGTGACGTCACCCTCCCCAGGGACGGCCCTGGGGGCTCAGCCTGGCCCTGCCGGGACCGGGTGAGTTCCTGGGCCCTGCGAAGGCTGCTCTGGCCAGCCGCGTGCGCAGCCACAATGGCCGAGCGGAGAGCCCAGGCCGAGTGCCCCGGGGGCCTGGAGTTCGCTGCTCCCCACAGCTCTGCCCTCCCTCCCTCCCCAGCCTTCAAGAAATACCTGCAGGAAACCCACGCCAAGCAGGCGAAGAGCCAGGAGACCTGAGGCCTGCCTGAGCTGCAGCTGTCTGTCTGTCTGTCCGTCCGTCCCTGTCTGCGCTCTCTGGACCTGTCCTTGCCTGCTCTGTACAGGACTCTGTATCATAGGCTCTTTTCCATTCACTCTGGCGGTGGGGCCCGCAGCGACTGTATAAATAAACTCTCGGTTTTTACTTGGGCGTGGCGCAGCTCGTGCATGTGGCTGCGGCCTGGCCCCGCCTTGGCACCCGAACCTCCGCGCGCCAGGCACCCCCTTCCCCACTGCTGCTGTGGGGTGGGAATGTCCCTGGCGGGGCCTTGGCCAACAGGCTCTGCAAGACTGCTTTGCAAGGAGGTGGAGGGCGGTTCTCGGGCACCCACCCAGCCCGGGACTGGGGGAGAGGGGGAAGATCTCGAGGAAGAAGCAGACACCCCCCCACCACCACCACCACCAGCTGGTCCCTTGGCCCCAAGCCAGGGCCCTCTTCCCTGGGCTCCGTGTGCGCCGAGGGACTCGCTTCTCCCGGCTGAGGGGCCCGTGCTGGGTTCCCCCCGGGCAGGTGCTGCTCAGCACAGCCTGCAGCAGGGTGTGGGCCAGCCCTGGTTCTGCCCACAGCCCCTGGGGCCCACCGCCCCCTCTGCAGCCCAGGCCTCACTGCCCAGCCCCTCACAGGCCTCGCTGCTCTCAGGCCAGGCCTCGTCCGTGGCCTCCACTGTCCAGACGGGGACATTGACTCTGGTCTCCATCTCCAGCAGCAAGGCCCCCGCTTGCTCAACCTGCTCCTCCAGGCCGGGGGGGCCACCCAGCTGCTCCGTGCTCCTGGCGCCCTTGCGGCTTGGCCTCCGCCAGGGCTTGTGCCCGGTCTCCGGGCCCTTCCCTGGGAGCCCGGTGCGGAGCAGCGGCGCCCCGCCCCCCTGCAGGGGGAAGAGCTGGCAGAGGTGATGGGCTCTGCACAGGTCTTGGTGGAAGAGCTCCAGGGCCGAGAGGGACAGCAGCCACAGCAGCTCCAGCTCCAGCCGCTCCCCCGGCCCC